ATTGCTGTTTTGTGTATAAATAAGGAGGAAAAATGTCTGAAAGTGAAAGGCAGAATCAGTATTTCTACTAAAAGGCAGACAATTAAAAACATGAGAAATTTAGTTTTCCTTCTTCTAAGGGTTTTGTTGCTGCATACAGGATGCATCTGCAATACTTAAAACCAAACAAAATTCCCAAAGCACAACACAGCTTGGTTTGGCATAAAATAACCTGCTTGTGTCAATCCGTACTGGCTACCCATTAAAAAAATGAAACAAAACCCCCAAACCCAAAGAACCAAACAACCCACCACCAAAAAAACCCCAAACAAAAGCAAACAAAACACCCCCTCACAAAACCAAACCCACAGAAAAATCTCCCACCCAGCCACTGTTGCTTCAATGTTATTATTCTAATAAATATGAAAACCTAAGATTTCTTTTTTCCCTTAAGTAGTCTGTCATCAACCAATGGAAGTTAACTGAATTTTACATTTAACAAGTTTTCAAGATCATAGCCCTAGCGCCCCACTGGAAAGCACACTACAATTCTTCAGCGCCACCAAGCAGAATGAGCACCAGTTGGAAGACTTGTTTCCCATAGTTGCTGTTCCCAGTGTAACCCTATTATTAAACTAAGTAATACCAAAGCTGTAATTTTACTTCTTTCCTCAGTTTCTCTTTTATGCATATCAGTGGTCCCAGACAATGCACCCAGCTCCCCCTTCATGCTCTACCTAGTTCTGTGTTCAGCTTCCATGTGGAGAAGAGGCACTGGGGCTCCCTGATGCACCACAACTCCTGTAGGATAGGACAATTCCCTTTGTAGGTTCATATCCCAACAGACCAGACCCATGACCATTCATTTGGTGCCTCTGTTGTAGATGAAGCTACACAGATCACTTGGTCCTCAGCTTGCAAAGCACAAATGGCTCTGGGGCAATATATTGCACAGGAACATTACAGGAATTTCTCTTTGAAATCCCTTTCATTCTGACTTACCTGCTAGAAATTGGTTAAGTTTCAAATGTACTTAAAAGAAAAACTCAGACATGTGCAAGACGGGATGATTACAAACACGTATGAGAAAAGGAGACTAAAATTGAAAAAATAATAAATAGGAAAATTACTAAGATAGCAAGTGACATGCCAGAAATAATGTGGCACATACTCAGAAGCTTGAACATTTTTTCCATCTACATTTACCAAACCAATAAAAAGATATATTATGTTCCCACAGATCTTGCTTTATTCTCCTTTGAGGTTACCATGGTTCAACCACAGCTAACACCACCGAACACAGTATTCTTAGTGTCATTTGCAGGAAATGGCAAAGAAGAAGGGGGCTGCAGGACCCTCAGTAAAGTGTGAAAAGGCTAGGACTGTGATGTACACCTTAATAGAACCATAGAATCATTTAGGTTGGAAAAGAACTTTAAGATCATTGAGTCCAACCGTTAAACTAACTGCTATAGTAATCAATAATATCATTCACCTAAGTCACTGCCAGCTGATTTTGGAATTAAGTAGCACTTTTCTGATGAATGGGCAAATTCAGTTTTCATGTATCACTTGTGAAGGTAGCACTGCCCTAACTGCCTGGTCACACAAGGACTGTTTTCTTTCAACCAGAAAGGCCACTTTTTTCTTTTAGTTTTTCCTTAATGGAAGACTGAAGGCCAAGTCATTTTCAACAGCACTGGTGTGCTTGCCACAGTTTATGGCAATGGGATAACTGAGCAGTCAAGGGTTCTCATAGTAATTTGCAAGTCTTAACTATAGCAATGTTAAAAACACGCAAAAGCAGTAATTGATTTTGGAAAAACACTGAGAGTTGATTTTATGCTTGTTAAACAGCACTCTAGTAATTATCTTGATCATCAACATCTTAAAATAGTAAAAATTAATTTTGCACTTAAATTGCTTACATAAAATATAGATGATTTATGTTAATGCTCTAAAATTGTGAAAAACATGGAATATTTGACCTTCAGACTCCCATCTTCCCCCTTTGCCTGAAGACTCTTACTGCCAATGACTCATCTGTTGGCAATGGTTTATTCTTAGCAATTACAGACTTAACATGAATGTTTAAATACCATCAAAAACATTATGATATTTCAGAGTACATTAATGCAACGTTGGTACAATCTGTGAAATCCAGAATAGTCACAAATGAATAGTGGATGAAAGCTTACTTTCACTTTCTGCCTCAATGTCAAATAGGGAGCTAACACTGGGCTATGGTTTTACTTTATACAGAGCCCTAGGGAAAGGGTCTGTGCTCGAGGCCAGTCACTAGAAGGCTACATCTTCTAAAATCCAGGATCCTTTTAAAAAAGTCCAAAAAAACTCCCCAACAAAACCAAAAAAGACACAACAGGACAACCATGTCTCTTCATTACTTTGGGTTACTTATCTCTTTGTGAAGAGACAAGATATTCTGTCCCAGAGAACGAGACAGACATTCCATGAAAACACCCTTTAGCACTCTTTCATCTTATCTCTTCCTCATTTTCTTCTCCCCATGCTTGTGTACAACCACTGCACCAGCAGTTTCTTTTGTTCTCTTCAGCAGAGGAAGTATTTTCTTACTTGCCTCTCATTCTTGTCACTCACAAAATTCTGGCTGAATGGTTGTTTTGAAACCTCAACTCAGAGGCCAGTCAGATTGGCTTTTAAAGAAGCTACTACCCTGCTCGTTCTACTTAGTTTGCTCCTGAAGTGATATACTCTGATATATTTCAATCAGTAATATTTTGTTTTCAAACAAAATAGATCAGTCTCAGGACTCTACATTAAATCCACAGCTGAGCTGAACTTAAACCAGCTGAAACTGTTCAAGACTGAGTGGACTGCCCCACTGGGTCTTTCCTTTCTTGCTCCTTGCTGTTATTCTCTGCTAAGGATTGTAACCTCTATTGCAAAGGAAGCAAACCAGAAAATGCCTTGGCTTTCAGTTTCCGTTGATAAATCCAGATTAGACTTCTGTGTTATGTTTTGCACCAGAAGAGGATAAGAGCTCTACCCTCTTCTTCCCATTCACACACTCCTGCCATCTACCTTGCACTGGATCTAGCAACTGGACAATCTCAAGTTGACTTGGTTTAGACTTCTGATCCACCTCAGTCTGAAAATGGAAATAAAAAAACTCACTCCATTGAACACAGCGGAGGCTGCTGAACAATGTAATTGGAATAGCAAGGTGGAAAATGAGACCACCTTTTAGCAACAGCCTGCAGTTATATTGCTGTAAGGACACTGTGAAACCCTCACCCCTATCCCCGCCATGATTACCCTTTTGAAGATCCTCACTCCACTCCACAGTAGGCTGTTTTTGTTGCTGCCATTTGTTTGCTTTAGTGACTTAATCACATTGCACATAAAAGCAATGGAATCATAATTTTGTATTACAAAAAAATTAATTTCTCTCTGTTTTTAAAATAATTCTTTGGTGTTCTTCCTATTCGTCGTTGGCATACTGAAAACTGAAAGCGACCTTTCTGTTTTGCGAAGTTGTGAAGATCACACACAGTAAATTATTTAGATTGAATCAAGTGTTTAAATAGATATCATGAGAATTCAGTGACAGAATCGCATACTTCATGGCACAGCAGGAAAAGATTATTTCTCGATCAACTTCTATTAAGATTAAAATACAGAAGTTCCTTCCACTAACTTATTACAAGTTTGCTATCTCCCTGTAAATTTACTCTTCTGTAAATTATTTGTCCCTGACTTCTTTAAAACCAAATCCAAAATGTAATTCTGCAGCACTTCTTTTATTCCCTATGACAGCCTATTCTAAATCCATGCCAAAGTGCAAGAAAATAGGATCAAACTCGCACATAAGCCCTTTCCCAACACAAGTGATCTATCCATACCTTCCCTTGCTCTCCTTTGCGTTTTACTGCACTGAATCTTTCCTACTCCTATGCAATATCCTCTAACCACATCTTCCAACTACACCATTTCTGACCGAAAGCTCAGACTCTGGATGAAGAAAAGGAAGCCTGATGAGAGAAGTTCTTACCATTACTACAAAGACTGAAAGCAAAAAGTTGAGAGCAGCAATCTACTCTTTAAAATCTTGGACAATGTGATTCTGAAAACCTCCAGGAAACAATCTGCCAGGAAAAGGATGCCAATTAAAAAAAATTCTAGTTTCAGGAGGGATTAGTAAGCAGAAATATGTTTATAAATTACACCTAATTGCAAATTACAAAATTCTCAGCACTGCAGGTGTATTTCCCACCATATGAAACTCCATTAAAGAACACTTCCTTTTTCCAAGACGCACATATCTAAATGCAGAGGTCAGGCAGGAAAGGACATGGGGATAGAGTAGGAAATGCAAGGAGGAAAAAAAAAAAATAAAAAGGAGCATGTTGAAAGGAAGGAGATAAAATGTCAGATTACAATCGGCGATAGAAAAAGCAGTAAAAAACTTTAAAGGAGTACAGAAGAAACAAAGTACTGCATTAACACAAACAATTTCTAACTCATTAGCCAGAAACTGTTGCCACAGAAGCTGACTCTCAAACCAGGAAATAAAAGAAAGAGTAACTGCTAGGAAAGTAGAAATTATATAAACAATTGATTTGAGAACATTATTTTGAACAAAAACTTTCTAGTTTTAATAATTTGTAAGAACTTCCTGTTTACAATAGGGCAGCTAGAGGAGAAAAAAAAAATCAAATCAAGAAATCCAAGCTGCTAATTCTCTTATTTTTCCTCCAAATTTCCTCAGTCTCCTCCCCAGGATATACTATTTTAACGAGAGTCCTACACCAAATACTTGATATACCAGAGTATCAGTGCTCATCTTTAATTTTGCTGAGCTTTTCTGAGTATTTCTAGCTCTTAAAACACCTCAAATCTGTCTTTAGAGTAAGATACTTCATACTGAAGCACTTGTATTTCTGAAGCAGGCATTATTTAATTGCTATATGCTCATGCATTCCAAGATGCGACACAACTTGTAACAAATGTTAATTCAATTTGAAAGCTCTTAGACCTACCTTTAAACTAGACTCATAGTCTGTGTTCACTTTGAACATAAGCCCAAGTCGCAAATGAATTTCCTTGGCTCGACAAAAGCTGGGATCAACATAAAGCGCCTCCTGAAATGCTTTAATTGCCCTGAAAGAAAAACACAGATTAAAAAATGATTTCTTTTTTATGGAAGTATTACTTCATAATCAGTATTATTTATATGACTAGCAGAAAGTGGATCATAAAGCACTGTTACAGAAGAACACATCAAAATAGTAGTTTACATGTGATGTTTTTGGTGCATGGCTTTTAATTCTTCGCAGACTGGGTAATTTGTACTCCAGATATCCTGGTATATGTGAAAGTCTAATCTTTCCTATTAATTTAGAGAAACTAATTTGCTGCATGAAATACAGTAACGTATCTACTGTTTCAAAAAGGATGACTCAGAATTAGTAACAAAATCCCTGCAACTTTGTAACACTACAGTGATCATTCAAGTCACAACCAACTTTCGATTGCCTAAGTGCAGACCACTGAGAGCAGCAGCAGAACAGAAGGCCTAAGAAGGAGAGATTGCACACATCTCTTCCCACTGCACCAACCTGTTCTGTTTTCCACTTTGTCCTCCCTTTCTCAGCACCAGTGCCACATAGGGATTCAACCAATACCTACTGCTCCATTACTTTCCATTCATTCAACCACGTCCGGGAAAACACAGATATGAAAGCCTGCCATGTCCTCCCACTCTAACTTGTTCATATTCCTATGATAGATGAACATGGCACTGATTCTACTTCCTTGCCTTTAAATCCTCCCTACACATGCCCCAGTTCATGTCGTCACTGTACCAGATAAAATAAAAACACTATGTAACAACTGTATCTTGGAGCAAAGAAAATTTGCTTCTAAACAGGAGCGTTTTGCCTCTCAGGCCAACTGTATAAAATTAGGACAGCTGAAACACAAGCAAAAGGTAATAGATATAAATTCATAGAGGAATTAAGAAAGAAGCTAAGACTTACTCTATCAGTTCGCCTGAAATCCAGACAACTTGAAACAAAACACCTTCACACACATCACTGCTTGTACAACGACAGAAATCACACACACTCTCACTTAGGGTAGATTAAAGCACCTAGGCGAGGGAGCAGTCTCATTTGCTGTCCTAGGCAACCCCAGGGATCGATTCTGAGCAGGCAGATGATAGGCAAACCTCAAGGGAGAACTGTACCCCCTGTGAAGCAGCACAGGGACACTGGACAAGAGTTAACCACAGTGCCTAAAATCACACAATGTTTAGGCAAATCGATTTCATTCCTACTCTCCAAGTGCAGTATTATTTACAAGGACAAAAGGTTAGCAGTTGCAATGGGAAATTCAATAAATATTTTTCATAGACTTTTTTTATTCACAAAACATAAAAATGACCATTTTTTAATCCATTAGCTAAAGCACTTCTACTCTAAAATTCTTACAGGTTATTTTCTCATTCTTGATGGGAAAGCAAACCAATGGCACAGAACTTCCTCTAGACAATGCAACAAAAATATACCTAAAGCATTATTTGACCTGTTTAACAGTACTTAAGAGCAGGTGAGATTGAAAAAAATCTTACATTTGTATTGTGAAACTGAAGCTTCCCCTATCACAATCTTTCAGAAAGGCTTTCCTCACCTTGTACCCTACTTTTCTGCTTACATAAGGAAAATGAGCAAGTGAAGTGCAAAAGAGACGAACTTGCACCAGCTAAGCAGTCTCGCACATCTCATCTGAACTTCCCTGCAATAGTATGGGTGGTGATGAATCACACACCTCAGTATCTACACCAAAATTGTAACAAACAGGATCCAGATCTCATAACAGTATGCTCATCATCACCTACAAGAATACTACTCAAACTGCAAGGCCAAACACTGGACTGATCACTAACATCAGCACCTATTTTAATCTATGCTTTTGTTATGCTGAAGTATAGATTTTATGATTGTGTATTTGCATTCCTTGTCTTACCCCTAATATGACACTTGGTATGTAAGCCACTGGTATTTAAAATCCATTATTTGCATGTTGTTTAAAGACAGTATCCTAACTTCTAAAAGGGAAGAAAAATGGTGTCTGTGATGCGTATCAAACGGAAGACGAAAATCAGGAATAAAGACATCGCAGTTCCGTAACACCTGGGCTATTTCCCCTGTATCGAGTCTCAGCTGCAGAGATCACTGAAACATGGATTTCTAAAAAAGATTAAAAGGAACTGTAAGAGATAAAAATATTTTTGTAGCCTCTTGCTTACTGAACAGGAAATATTATTCATTGCCACAGCTGAGCAAGAGTTAAACAAAGCTACAAGTGTAACAACTTTTAAGGACAGTTTAGAAGTTTAGTTTGAATGCATACTGTCATTCATTCAAAAGAACGAGAACGGTGCCTACCCCAGACTTTCAGAGAAGAACAGCACTTAAAACCCAGTAAAATTATGATCAGTGGACAACATGAAAGACTGTGTGCCATTCAGCACAGAACCTGGCAGTCACAGACAGTCCCTGTGAGGTTCGTGTAAGGTTTATTTCTGTGCAGACAACACAGCAACACCATTCACCCTAGTCTGGGCTGCTCCTGGAGTCAGATTAAACATTAGCAGGCTTTGAGATAACATTTAACCCAACACAATTTTCCAATGACAACAAGCCTAAAATGTGCAAGGAGAAAGAAAATCTGTAGGATGAGACATCAGTCTTTCACACAAAATCTATGCAGGAAGTAAACGGCATGCTCTTCAACCCATTTTGACAGATGCTTTGAAAAATATATCAAATCAACCAAGTCAAAACAAAAGTCTCTGTACCATTTTCAAGTTACCATACTAACTGCTAAGTAACATTCTAGTTGTACATTTCGGTTATATTTGATCACTTCTAAACTGGTGGCTTTGGGAGCAAAGGTAGAAATGCTTTAAAAGCACAATTTCCTTGAAAGCTTATAAAATTCAAAGGAGTGTGGTCAGGGAGCACTTACTGCTCCCATCCATTGCATTGATTTGGCAATGGAATGGACTGACACTGGTGAAGAGTTTGGTGAAAGACTCTCCAATTAGGAATTTTCCTTCAGTTTCTAATACGTGATGGATTTACATTTAAGAATGAATCCATATGCACTCAAAATGCTAGGGCACTCCTGGATCAGTCTCTTGCTTGCATCTTAAATTCTGTATCCTCAGATGCCATAATAAAAGCTAAAAGATAATTCTGAAAGGTAGCATAAATTTAAACTTATAATGAAGCATAATTGTATCAGTAAATTAAGGGGAAAATGTTGCAAGAATACACCAAATACTCCCCAAAGCAGCTTTTCTAACTAAATACCAGATATTTTACCTTCTCCATTAAAATATTGGCCTGCATCTTACTTGACTCTAGTGTTAATTCTATATTGATTATGCAATTTGTAGTTATTCCAGTATGACAATCACTGATAGTAACAAATACAAATTACTTCCACTACTTCTCTGAAAAGGGACACCATCAGAATTTTACAAATAGAGTGATTGGAAAGGCAGTATTTTCAGTAGTTTCTACCAGTGCTAGGTGCTCATGTCTAATTTGTTAACTATAGCCTCATTTTAAATAGTAAAATTTTCATAGAATAAACCACTCAAACCCTGAAAAGACACTTAGTTATTAAGTCCTACAGACAGACAAGCAATTCTACAACATAACTGAACTAATATTGATATAATTTTGCCTATGGGGAACACGTAAAGTAGCAATGCACCAAAGATTACAGGACACATCAAGAACACAGACTACAGTAAAAACTTTAGTTTTATTTTGGGGCTATCTGTTTCCCAGTGCCATGCCCAAAGCTCCAGACTCAGTCCCTTATTACAACAATAGCAGAACATCTGCAACATCACTGACATCCCTTTCAGCTGTAAGTGCTCAGTAACATCCAACGCAGATGGCATTAGGCTTGCTACAGGTTGGTACAACACAGAAAGAAGTGGACATGATAAGTGAAAAGTAGGAGCCAAGAGCTGTAAAGGTAAATGAGTTGTAGAGGTAAATGAGAGAACATAGCCCAGTGTAAGTAACTGCAGTCCTTTCTGGCCCATCTGTTTGCCTGAGTTGGGCCTTTTGGTACAGCAAAGGTCACTTGATCCTTGTACAGACCTTTGCTCTGAAACATCACTAATCCCATTTCTGTCCTCTGCCCAAGCCTACATACAGAAAGATGGGGGTCTAGAGGATTCAAAGCATACAAGTTACTCAGATGTTTTCCCTCAAAGCTCTTCTGGAGTTTGACCAAAACCAGAAGGGTAGATATAACCTAATAGCTTGATGATCTGGCACATATGAAGCAGGATTTGGCTTAAGAAACTAATGGCTTCCTTCAGAGATGATGGTACACAGGCTTCCTCAAGTAGATTGTTAGTCTCCACGACTGATTAATGGGCCTTGCTGCACAGACAGAGCTTTTCAATTTTAATCCTTTAGCAGACTAACCATGTATTAGTCCAAAGGATAAGTCAGTGCTGGGAGCTCTCATACTTCAGGAATAAATGACAGTCATCTAAATTCAGCAAGATATGACTTTTGGTTTGTTCACTGCAGGTAACTGCCTGGTAAGAAACGACTCTGGTTGAGACTACTAGCATTTATTTCAATTACATAAAAGTTTTTTCCAAGAATGGAAGCATTTCCACTGACAGACAGGAAGGCTATCTAACAATCAACAAAATAGACTGGGACTGAAAAACAGACACTATGGAGGATAGAGAGCACCTCTAGGCTTACACTTTACACAGCACTGCTACGGTAATTCAAGAAAAATAAAAATGACATGGATCTATCATCTCCAAATCAAGACTTTCAGAATCAATGCGGCAGCTACCTTTCCACCCACTTATCTACACAACAATGCCTACCATTATGAAAGTGAAGAAACCAGCTGAATAATAATTAATAGAAGATTATACTAAACATTTAGTGAACTCCCATAAGACTTTTATTGAAAGGTTTTTCTTGGATATACTGTGAATAAAATTCACTTTGAATAAGGCAAAAGAATATAATAAAATAGCATCAGTTTAACTATTCAAAAGTTAACACTCATGCATTTCAAACAAAAAACATGAAAATCAGACT